CCCAGAATCCCTCAGCCAGCAAACAGGTTTGCTAAGATTCAACCATGATTTGATGGCACTTTAGCCATCCATCAAATCCATTGTTGATATTTTCCCACAGAAGATCAGAATAACAGAATTAATATCTGGTATCCGTGGAATTTCTTGTAAATGAAGGTTAGAAGCCGGCATTTTTCCTTTGTAGCAGTCTGGTTCCTGTTGTCAATTAGAAGGTAGAAATACAGTATATTTCCCTGGTCACCACAGGCTTTGATCAGCCCAAATCTTGATGAATCAAGACCAACGATGCCTTACTGATGCTTTGTAGATAGGTAGTCCTCGACTTAACGACCACGACTGAGCCCCAAATTTCTGTTGTTAAGTGAACGTTGCCTCTTTCTTGCCAACGTTAAATGAATCCCTGCAGTTGATAAGTTAGTCCCCCGGTTGTTAAGTGAATCTGGCTTCGACCTTGCTTGTGAGAAGGTCACAAAAGGGGATCACCTGACCTCTGGGATACTGCGACCGTCGTAAATACGAGTCAGTTTTGAAGCGTCCAAATTTTGTTCACGTGACCCTGGGGAGGCTGCAACGGTCATAAGTGTGGAAAAACAGTCCCGAGTCACTTTTCCCAGTGCCGTTGTAACTTCTGAACGGTCACTAAACGAACGGCTGTAAGTCGAGGACTGCCTGTAATGCGTTTTGCCGGCAATGTGCGCCGCATGTTTCATGCTGTGTGTTTTTCCTTCCCAGATGTAAACTCGTTCCAGCAAACCACAAAATGGATCGATGACGTCAGAACGGAAAGGGGTAGCGATGTCATCATCATGCTTGTAGGAAACAAAACAGATCTAGCAGATAAGAGGTGAGGAGACAAGACACCCCACTTTTCTGACTCGGCTGAATCTATTTTATTTGGGGGGGGGAGTGTAATCTGTACAGATGGATGGAAAATTGTGGATAGATATAGACAGACAGAGCAGGCCAAGCGCCCCAAATGCAGATATGTGACCACCAGGGGTGGGATTCAAATTTTTTAACAACCAGTTTTATGGGCGTGGCTTATTTGAGGGGCATGGCTTGGTGGTCATGTGACTGGCTGGGCATGGCCAACTCAGCATCACTCACATCGAGGCACGCATCTCCTCGCCTGGCCTCTCATGACTGTGGAGATGCTGCAACAGTCGTAAGTGTGAAAACGGTCGTAAGTCACTTTTGTCAGTGCCATTGTAACTTTGAATGGTCCCTCCACACAAGCAAAGTACCAGCAAAGGAGGGGAAAAAAACTCCAGGGAAGTTCCTGAGACAGGAAGTCTAGTCCTGCCAAGAATGTAATAAGGGTTAAGAGAGAGGCAGTTTCTGTAAGCAACACCAGAATGTTTCCTTCCTGCCTTCCTTACAGGATTAGCCCTGTAATTTCTTCTAATTTCTTCTCCGAACTGCTTAGAATGTTAAGAACCGGTTCTAGCAAATACGTGCGAACTGGTAGAATCCCACCCCTGGTGACCACGGGTGGGGTGTGTGTGGACCCATTAGAACTTTAGAACCAGGTCGTAAGTAACCCTGGGGAAGTTCAACATAACTTCAAGCAGTCACTAAGCGATCGGTCATAGATTGAGGACTACCTGTTATCTTTCCTGCTGACTTGTGGTCTGCTGGAGAGATTCCCCAATCTCTTCTCCCATGTTAGCCCCGAAAAGCAAACGCCCCACTTCAACCCCTCTTTGCTTCACTCTGCCCTCTCCTGTGTCCCATGAAAAAGATGTACACCTCGGAGAATAGGTTGTTACCTTTATTGTCAGAGTACAACATGTGTGTACAATGAGATTGGCTGAGCCTCCCTTCGTGCACACATACACACACCCCAACACAACTCACAGGACAGGACAGAAGTCCCTAACTCAGTCCCAGTCTTATTACACCAGGTGACCTTGTTGCACAACACACCAGCCCTGCAAGTCTGTCATACGATGTTGACATGAAGTTATTTTCCATTCAGGAGTCTAACAGCCCACAGGTGGAAACTGTTTTTCAGCCTGTTGGTGCGGCTGGCTCTGCTTCTCTATCTCCTTCCCGATGGCAGGAGAGTGAAGAAGGGTTGACCAGGGTGTGAGTCGTCCCTGAGGATTTTCCTCACTCTTCTAAGGCAGCGAGCCCCGGCGAGGTCATCTAGTGGTGTTGGGACAGCCCACGATGCTTTGTGCTATGCTCAAACTGTGCTGTGGATGTGACAACAAGACTTGGTTTATTTTATTTACAGGTTGTTCAGTTGGTTTTAACCTGTGCATCCATTGAGTGTTGAGCTGTGTGTATTAAATCTTCCCTGTTAGCTGCCTAATTTTAAATTCCTCACTATTTAAATGGCATTTTATGAGATTCTCTTCTCTCCTTCCCTTAGATTTTGCTTTGTAAATTGCCATGCAAATAAAACCATAAAAGCCATAAGTACAAACCCTTCTAATGAATGGAGGTTTCTTCCTTAAAGCATCTAAGACAGGGGTCCCCAACCACCGGGCCCCGGACTGGTACCGGTCCGTGGATCATTTTGTACCGGGCCGCAAAGAATGTTTGCTTGGGCGCCGCCATCTTGTTTCGACGGCGCTTGAGAAAGTGCTTCCGGGTGAGCTTGTCGGTCATCGGTTGGAAAGCGGCGTTTGGGTGCTGAAGGAATCCTCGCGCCTTAATTTCGTCGAAGAGGGGGGGGGGCGGCTTCGAACGAAGAGCCGTCCCGATGGCGGTGGAGTCTCGCGTTACTCAGGAGGAGATTAAGAAAGAGCCCGAAAAGTCCATCGACCGCGAGAAGGTACAGAGGAGGAGTTGAAGGTGGCGGGGAGAAGCGGGGGACGGCTGGCTGGCGGCTGGCCCCTACCCGGTCCTTGAAAAAGTGTTTCTGCGTGAAACTGGTCCCTGGTACAAAAAAGGTTGGGGACCACTGATCTATAAGATGTAGCCATTGTAACCATTCTGAAACTGTGGTTTTCTTTTTTTTTTTTCTTTTGCAATAATTTTTTTTATTTTTTTGTTTCAACAAGCATATCATTATGTGAACTGTGGTTCTGGAGTGTCTTACATTTTAAAACAAATATGACAATATTCTTCATATATAATACAATTGACAATCTTATAAAATTTGGTATTAATACACATATTTTGTTAAATTATCAATCTTGATTATTCAATATTACAGTATGTTATTTTTATGTCAACCTTTATATTCTTAACATCACTTCTTTTTCTACAGATATTATATTAATCATATTTGCAGTGTTTAATGAATTATATATTTCTAATAACAATTCACAAATTTATATTGAATTATAATTTTCCATTGCTTATCCCCTTTTTAATTTTTAATTATGCCATTACTATATTTAAGAAAAAAATCCCACTCGCATTAAAACTTCAATTATTCCTGAAACGGTGGTTTTCTTGTGGATACACTTTTTGAGGAAGCCAAGACTGCAGTTCTCTTGCTATGATTCTCTTCTTTTCTTTTTCCAGACAAGTATCTATTGAGGAAGGGGAAAGGAAAGCCAAAGAGCTGAATGTGATGTTCATTGAAACTAGCGCAAAGGCCGGATATAACGTAAAACAAGTGAGTAAAATAAGGAGCTGCAGATTGTTATGTCTCACAGCACGGATCTCCAAACGTGGCCCCTTTAAGACTTGTGGACTTCAGCTCCCAGAATTCCTCACGGTATGGCTGGCTGAGGAATTCTGGGAGTTGAAGTCCACAAGTCTTAAAGGGGCCGCTTTTGGTGGCCCCTGCCTTACAGTCAAAGAAGAAAAGTGTCATTCCAGGCTTTCAAGATCAGTTACAAATCATGTAAATGCTTACTCTAAGGTTGTTTGATCAGAATTGAAGGGGCTTGACTTGTCCTCCAAACCACCCAAAGGGCAGGGCAAGAAGTTATGGGTGAAAACCCGAGAGATCCAATCTAAAAGGAAGGAGAAATTTTAGGGCAGTGAGAAGAATTAATCAGTGGAACAACTTGTCTCCCAGAGTTCAGGGTGGTCCATTAATGGAGGTTTTCCAAACTGGACTGGACAACCCATTTGACTGGGATGGGATCAGAGGTGGGTATTCAGCAGGTTCTGACCAGTTCTGGAGAACCAGTAGCGGAAATTTTGAGTAGTTCAGAGAACCAGCAAATCCCACCTCTGACCGGAGATTTTGCAGTATCCTTCCCCTGCCACACCCACCAAGCCACGCCCACAGAACCGGTAGTAAAAAAAATGGAATCCCATCACTGGATGGGATATAAGATCTTCTGCCTTTATTATTATTATTATTTAACATAAAAAATTCAATGTCTACATAAACAGTGTGTTGTCTGGGTACAGTTAATTTTGAGAAATAACAGTAGAAATAACAATATTCATAACATTAATAATGATCACATCATAATAATCGTATTTGCTTATCCATTTGAGTAAACATTCCTTATAAAATCAATCATTCTCTTATACTTTTAAATTTCTAACCCGCTTCTGCTGGTTAGCCATTGATAATACAAATCCCCCGTATTCAATGTCTTCCTTCTCTTAAGGTCTTCTACCTTGAGCAGGGGGTTGTGGCATCTCCATGGTCACTGGATCAAAGTTCAGACCCTTTGGCAACTGACTTATATTTATGATGGTCGCAGTAGCTCAGAGTCACATGTGTCAGGGCTCCAACAAATCCACCCCCATTCAAATCATAAGTCTCTAGCCGCATCTCTCAGAGAAAAAAAAATGATTTATTAGGAGTGGCCATATTGGTGTTAGCTGGGTGCAGCCGACACTAAAATACATCATTCATTAAGCCCCTTGACCCTGGTCTTCCTCCCACCCCCTGGATGTATATTCTCCAATGGGACACATCCATAGCCAGGAGTCATCAAACATGCTCTCCAGTAATAATCTTGCGTGCCAACAGCTTCGGCTACCTAGCAATTATCTGAAGCATTTAAGGAATGCACTGCTTTCCTCCCTCCCTTTCTGCTGGCAACTAAAAAGACCAAAGAAGTTTTTTTTTTTTTTTTTTTTGGTTGACATTGATCCCCTTTGGCGACCTTCACACGAGCAAAGTCAACGGGGAAGCCAGATTGAAGTAACTCTTTTATTAACTTAACAGCTGCAATGATTCCCTTAACTAGGGTGTCCCAAAGGAGCTTTTTTCTTTCTTTTTTTTTTTTTTTTTTTTGGATTTCCTGGTTTTTCTCTGAAGACGTTTCGCTTCTCATCCAAGAAGCTTCTTCAGTTCTGAGCTGCTCACTTTGGGATGAACACCCTTCGAATGGTGCGGGGCATATGAACGGATTTCCAGCAAAATTGCAGACTCTAGGAATCTTCCATTAAAACGAACGGCTTTTTTTTTTTTTATTGAACACTGATTCAAAGGCGTCAATTGCACCTGGTATAAAAATCCAGAGCCTTAAAAGCGCAGGATATTGTCCTTGTCCCCTTCTATTGATCCATCTTGCTTTCCCCCTTCCTCCCCCTCTAACTTCCTTCCTTCGTTTTCCCCCTCAGCTTTTCCGACGTGTGGCGGCTGCTTTGCCCGGCATGGAAAGCACGCAGGAGAAGAGCAGAGAAGACAGTATCCTTCGATCCACGCTCGGGTCGGTGAAGCAATCCAGTCACTGGTGTGGAGGTTTTGGATGGTGGCGGGGAGCACCCCTGGGGGACAAGGTCAAAGCAGATCTGTTCTGACCCAGGCTCCCCAAACCTTCTGGAGTGGAATCAAATTCCCTTTAGGAGGAGCGCCAGCAGCCCCGGCAAAAAGTACCCCCCCCCCCCCTCTCTCTCTCTCACCGCAGGCTCACACCGCAGGCGAACAGGGAGATGAGTAGTTGTCTGCCACACCTATTTCTCTCCCCCTCCTGCCTTTTATCCCCAGAGCAAGGGAAGGGCTTCGCTAGCAGCGGTGGCTCTTCCGTCCCGGTTTGCTCTGTACAAAAAACCCCTGAGGTTTATTTAAGCCTTTGGTGTTTGTTTGTTTTTTTTTGCCTGGCTATCTCGCTGTGAGGCTGCTGTGGGCGACTTACAGGAATAGAAAGGAATCGGAATGAAAAGAGGCGTAAACGGAAGTCAATCTGTATATATATATAAAAGCGAAAGGCCCCTCACGCATCCTCACAAAATCTCCAAAACCATAAAGCCTACAAGCTTGCAATTTGGCCCGTAGGTTTATCTTGGCTTCTAGGGGCTCTCACTAAGAAAGGATTTTTGGAAGTGACCATCAGAGCATTTAGAGCAGGGGTCCCCAACCACCGGTCCGCGGACCGGTACCAGTCCGTGGAACAAATCCTACCGGGCCGCTGGTTTGCTGGGCGCCGCCATCTTGTTTTGATGAAAAAGTGCTTCCGGTGAGCTTTTCCGGGTAGAAAGCTCACCGGAAGCACGTTTTCATCAAAAAAAGATGGCGGCACCCAGCTGATGCCGGTACCGGGCCGCGGCATAAAAAAGGTTGGGGACCACTGATTTAGAGTATTTCCTATATTATTATCATTATTACTAACACGCTCTGATGCTAAAGAGTTCTACTCCCCCTCCCCACCTGAAAAGAAACCTGTTCCCAATGCAAAACACAAGCAGAGGAGAGGCGTTTAAGCTTCAGAGCAGCAACCAGCTTTAGTACAGAACAGTTGAGCTAAGCCACACCCAGGCTCCTTGCTGTCTCCTCCTTGCTCACATAGCAAATACTGCTTCAGTTTCCAAACAGCCCTCACTTCTCTCACACACTGGCAGGACGCTTGCCAGATGAATACCGATGGATGCTGGTAGGCAGAGGCAGAATTCCCTCCCCCCTTATTTTCCTCCCCCAAAACTAAGCCCGGCCACATCGTTTTGTAGCGAAGCACCTGGGTAAAGAGCCAGTCGAACTGTAAAACAGTGACAAAGGAACACGACAAGAATGACTACATCAATACGATGATCAAAAAGATGGAGAGAAGAGAGCGAGGAGGCGGAGGGGGAGTCTGCCCCCTTCAGTGTGGAAGTCGTGTCCCCCCAAAAAAAAATTGGACCCCAAGGCAGGTCTTCAGGGTCTTGTGGAAGGAGGGGAGGTTGGTTACCCTTGGGGGGGCAGTAAGTTCCAAGGGGTGGGCGTTGCAGCCGGGAAGGATCTCGATAGACGGGGGGGGGGGGTATTTTAACGGACGGTATCCGAAGCAGGCCCTCTCCCCGCCGGGCACAAGCCGGTGGATTTATTTATTTTTTATGACATTTAATTGCCGCCCATCTCGTTTCCAAGGAGTCTTTGTCACTCCCAGCAGAAGCTTCGGACGCTGCTGAGAGTCACCCGACGGGGGCGGCAGCAGCGAATAGAGAGAGAGAGAGAGAGAGATTTCTGGGGTCACTTGGGGCCACTAACCCTAAGGAGGAGAAGAGATAAACGGGGTCTCTGGTCTTGAACGGTTCTCCAGAAGGGCAGGGAGGCTAGACTGGTCGTGGGAACCTTCTGCTGGGCCTGTTGGCTGTTCCCTCTTCCTCCAAGCCCTCCGTGAGTGAATGGACAGGGAGGAAATGGGGCTTTTTAGCTGTGGCCTCATCGGAAGGACTATTATCCATCTGGGGTCCCTGGTGCTCCCTGAGCTGGGTGGTTTCCTTGCAGACATTTCAGGACCCAGCTAGGGAACCTCATCAGTGCTGGAAGGATTTGTGGAGGAGGACTGTGGTGTCCCCGGGGTTCTCTAAGCTTGGGGGTTTCCTTGCCGACATTTCATGACCCAACCAGGTAACCTCATCAGTGCTAGAAGGGAAGGAGGTTTGCTCTCTTGTTCTGTGCCAGTGCTTTTGTTCTGACCGTGTTGCTGGGAGTTTTCTTGGTGGCCCCCCAGTTAGACTGTTGGAGTTGCTGGTTCCTCGATTAGGATACAGTTTACATGTTGGTGCTTGGTCTAGTGTTACTGTTGCTGTTAGTCTATTTATCTTGACTGCTTGCATTGATGTCAGGTGATGAAAGGTCTGCAGGAAAGCAACCAAGCTCAGAAAGCACTAGGCACTAAACCCCTCAATCCTTCTCCTTCCTCTCTTTATCCTCCTCTTCCTCCTCTCCGCAAATCCCACTCCCTTGTAGCTCTGATGATGTTCCCTAGATGGGTAATGAGATGTCTGCAAGAAAGTAGCCAAGCTCAGAGAGTAACAAAGACGGCACAGTACTTCTCCTCTTCTTCCTCCTCCCAACCCTCTCTCCCTTGTAGCATTGATGATGTTCCCTAGTTGGGTCATGAAACATCTGCAAGAAAACAACCAAGCTCAGAGACCACCGAGGACCCAAACTCCTTCTCCTTCGTCCTTCTCTTCTTCTTCCTCCTCCTCCTCCTTGCAAACTCCACTCCCTTCTAGCACTGATGGGGTTACCTGGTTGGGTCATGAAACGTCTGCAGGAAAGCCACCCAGGTCAGAGATTCCCCAAGGACCCTCCCAACCCTCGGCTACCAATTCCATGCCCCGCGAAGCCAGAGAGAGGCCGTGTTTGTGTCTTCCGTTTCCCTTAACGTCTCTTCCCCAGTGATCGACATCAAACTTGAAAAGCCTCAAGAGCCGCCAGTCAGCGAAGGAGGCTGCTCCTGCTAATAGTGTGTTGGGTTTTTTTTTGTTTTTATTTCTGTTTTTCCTTCCTTCCTTCCTTCCTCAAACCATCACTGGCTTCTCCTGCTCCTCCCTCCCTCCCTCTCTCCCCGGGACAGCCCTCTCGACAGCCGTGACAGCCGTGTGACGATTGCCTTGCCTCCTCCTCCTCCGCCTCCTCCTCCTTCCCCACACCTCCTCCACCACCACCACTCAACCCCAGCACGGATCCTCATCGCTGCCTGTCTCGTGAAGATGACCCGTTAAGCTTCACCAAGCACAAAACGAAAAAAAAACACACACGAAACAGTCGGTGTCTTCATTGCATCCGGAAGGAAAAAGGGGAGAGGGATGTTTGTAAGAGCCCAAACCCACCCGACCGTAATTCCAGTCGTTCTCGAAAAGTTGAGTCCAGCTTTTGGGTTTAAGGTCTGTTCCTTTTTTTTTTTTTGCCTTTTTTACAAAGAGAATTAAAACGTTGCGCTTGTCAAATGGATGGAAAGTAGCGGGAGAGAAGAGTGGTGGGGTAAGGGTGGCACCCGCTTTCGCCGGCAGGGTAGAAGACGCCCCGTCGCTGGCCGCCTAGAGCCAAACCCGACGAGAAGACCACGCTGGCCTTTTCCAGTCCAACCTTTTTTGCTTTTGGGGACAAGCAAAACTCCCAAAGATGGCTTGTTAAAACCGGTGTGTGGTTTACTCCTTTTATAGCGCCAAACAAACCATCTTTCGGCATCGGCTGGCGAGATGTTTTTTTTTTCTTCTTCTTCTTTTCTTTTCAAGATGCACACGGTTCCAGACCTTCCGTGTGACGCCCCACTTAAGGGCTTAGAAAAACCCTCTCTGGGTTCCTTGGAGAAGCCCCACAGCTGCAGCACAGTCTCTGGTTGGGGGTTTTTTTTGGTTTTGTTTTTGGTGTTTTTTTTGCCTTTCTGGGAATATTTTCAGAACTGGGCACCTTGTATGGTGGGTGGGCTTGGAAAACAGGTCGGGCCTGTTTTTGAAGAGAAACGACGACCCAAGCGAGACCCAAGCGAAATCCGTTTCGAAAATAAGAGGTACTTACACTACGACCAAGCTTGTAAGTTCTCCCGTAAAGTGAGGAAGGAGGACCAGGATAATAAATGAGGCCGTTTTGGCAGCTCAGATCTCAACCGGGGAGGCAGGGAAGAGTGATCAAAGTATGTTTTTAAAAGCCCCTCTTGAAAGGATGATGGGGGTAGGGAGGTTGCATAAGATGGAAACAGAGCTTTCAATTATGCAGGCTGTTGCTTTTACTTTCAGCATTATTATTGTTTCTATTTTCTTTTTTTACATTCGGTCTTGAGTCTATATATGTACTGCATCATTTGGTTAAGTAACCGTTTGTTTAGTATTATGTTTAACTTAACTACGATTAACGGTGATTTCCTTCAATATTTATTTTCTCTGCTTTAATTTTTTTTAGTGTGCAAGGTTTTTTCTGTCTTTCTTTCTTTCTTTCTTTCTTTCTTTCTTTCTTTCTTTTTCTCTCTTTCCTTCCTTCCTTCCTTCCTTCTTTCCTTCCTTCCTTCCGCCCTCCCTCCCTGTCTCTCTCTCTCTCTTTTTTCTTTCTGAATTGGTTAATCCATTTAACGCTTTGGCAATGTTGCAAAATTCTGCGGTTTATTTTGGAAACAGACATGCATTCTGTCTCATGTATACACACACGCACACACACACACACACACACACACACACAAAAGACACACCCACGCTACAGAAGTGCACTCTTAATAGTACTAGTCATTGTGAAGTTGCTACGTAAGTTAACACAATTGTAAATACATTGTTTGCCAGGAGAGAGTTTGTGGAGGGGAGGGGATGTGGCAGAAACTTCCCAACTCCTTTTTCTCCAGCAAGGGCTGGTTTTTGAAAAGGCAGCCCAGGTTGGTTCAGAGGCCTCAATGCCAAGTCTCTCTTCCCCCCCCCCCCCTCCACCCCCCTTTGCATTGTGGAGTCAGAGTGGCAAATCCATCCCTTTGACTTGAGTTTCCAGTAACTTTGCATAATCTCATGTTAAAAGGGCAGATGGACATCAAAATGCTTTTAATGCAATATTGAAGAGGTGATTTTTCCGTTTCCTTTTTTTTTTTTCTTTCAAAGTAGCATGTCTAGAAATAAATGTTTAAACTATGGCAACCGACGACGAACTTAATCCTGAAAAGAAACTCAAAAGGAGACTGGGCTACTTTTTGTTTTGTTTTTTGTTTTTTCCCCCTTCCTTCCTTGTATCGTTGTTATTCTACGTGTGCAGAAATTTTAAACAAAGAATCCCATCTCGCTGCTTTTGAATAACTGAGTTTTCTGTGGTTTGGGTTCTTCGAGCAATTAAATGTGTACACGGGTTGGATTTTTTAAAACATGCACAGAATTTTTTGCTTCCAATAAAGTATCTAATCAAAACACTACGAGGAAAAGGTTTCTCCCTGTTGTTTCTTTTGCTTCCCCTGTTCCCCATCCACTGGCCTCTGCGGTTGTTGGCTTGTTTCGAACTCGGTGCCAGAGCTGAGCATCACATCAATTCTTTGGTCTCCAGATGGGAAGGAAGCATGCCGCTCCCAAATAGGACAGAGTTTCCCAACCTTGCCAACTTTAAGATGGGTAGACCTCAATTCCCACAATTCCCCAGCCAGCATACATATAAGTGATTTGCTACAGATTTACTACAGTGATTCACTTAAACCACCATAAAAATGATACCATGGGGTCTGATTCTGCTTATGAACGCAACAATAGAAATTCCAGGCTAATTGTGATTGTTAAGTTGACGGCTGCTTGTAAAGCTGCTTTGCGAGAACAGAACTAATCTGCAGCTATTCAGATTGTTGGCCAAGCAGGCACAAAAACAGCCGAGGAAACGGGGGCCCCCCGTGAATCAGGAAGGCTCATTTACCACCAGTTTTATCAATTACGTAGGAGGCGAAGGCCGGGCAGCCCAAGCAGCCAACCACTTGATAGCCAGCCATCGACACCCCACCCAATCAACAAAATAAAAAGCCACACCACCACACACCATATAAACACCACACACAGAACAGCCCGAAGCACTTGCGGTGCTAGGGAGAAGTTTCCCCGAGAATGGGCTCCGGCACCACGAGTCCAAAAGCTTGGAAGACAACTCTGGTCCCAGTGACCGACCCAGATCGGATCCTGCAATATATTATCCTGGGACACGTAGATTCGTCTTCCGTCGCGAACTAGATTTAACTTGTTCCTTTTTCCTTGTTTTGTGCCCTCTTTTGTTTTACACTTTCTTAATTCCCGCATTTTGCATAGCCATGTTTTGTTTTGTGATCAGGATTAGTCTTTGAGTGTGCGTGCGTGCCCGTGCCCGTGCATTAGCCACCGTTTGTAAACGACCATTTCAAGACTGATTTCTTTTTTCTTTTTTTAAACATTCCTTGAGAAACATTCCTTGGTTAAATAGCAGACCTGTTGACTGAATGAAGCAGCTTCATGGAAGCCCCGAAAGGCCAAATGCTGAGAGGAAGTAATTGGAAAATAAACACAATTCTTTCCTTCCCTTAAACACGCACGCAAACGAACACTCCTGGTGTTAATTTTTTTTCAGGTAAGCTTTCATACTCCCCCTAATTAAGTTAAATGCAGATGAGCTTTGCATCTCCTTACAATGTTTATTTAAAATGAATATTCGACAGGTGCCATTTGGCGGCTGACTGGCACCGGATCGAACCAGAAGGAAAGCAACACAAGATTGCAGCGTTGATGATGTGGAAAAACAGATAACGGCCAGGCACTCTGTTGGAGAGCAAGGTGTTTTTTTTAATCCTTAAATAATTTTTCTTCCAAAATATACATTATTATTATTATTAGTGCTTTAAGCGTTCGATGGAATCAAGCCGCAAACTAACAAACTGGGATATGGTGGCTACGTAGCACGCAGAGAGAAGCAAAGCGAGGTGTGTTTGTGCTGTCGCTAAAGGGGGAGGCCCGGCTTTCAGACCCTGCCACAGGGATGGGATACCCTCAGGAGAGCCACCGCTGGCTTTAAAAAAAAAAAACCTCATCCATCGAGAGCCATGGGGCACCGCTTCCCGACGGCTTCCCTTGTGAAAAAGCCAGAGGTGTTTTCTTCAAACTCAAAATGACTCCATTTCGTATGCAACTCTCGTTCCGTGATGTGCCTGGAAATGTGCAGGAAATGCTCCCTCTAAACAATTAGGGAAGTTTGTATTTCCTGGGGTGAGTCAGCCCTGTTGCTGCTAGCAATGGTGATTATTTTTGGGCGGGTGGGTGGGGGACAGAAATCTCTTGCTGGCCTGGCAGTGTTTCAGTCATTTAGCTGTGCCAACCCCATAATGGGTCTGTGGGAAGGCGGCATTTTCACACCTTCCAAGGACAAAGCAGCAACTGGGCTCCAATGGCACCTTTGTGGGCGGACACACGGAAGGAACCCCCGGACAAATTGGAGCAAGGTGCAAAAATGGTCTTTTCTATTTTGGAATGTGTTAAGATTGCAATCCAGATTTTTCCTCCCAGAGTTCACGGCAACCTACTGCATGCAGAACTCTTTCCTCTTTATTTTTTTTACCCACAATACCCCGATGAGGTAGGCCTGAGCACAACTATAGCCCCAAGTCACGGAGTGAACATCCACAGACTCGACCCCACTTCTTCCCAACTCAAGACAGGAAGCAGTCCAAGGCACCCTTAGTTCCATATTCATGGTGCATGTTCGCACCGCTCATTCCTTAACCTCGAATCCAGCACTCAATAACCAAGGACCAGGAAAAGGCGGCTATAATCTCGCCGGATGCCTTTTCCCAGGACGGCTGAGATGCGCTCCCACTCTTCGCATGCCCACTCAACCTGCGCATGGCTAAACGTCCCAGTCTAGTTTACACTACAAAACGTATCTGGGTTCAACGGTCAACAAGCCAGCTTCCCTTTGGCCTGGTACACAGCAAAAGAGCAGGGGACTGCAATGGTCTGTGCGAAAGAGTTTGGGAGACCAGGCAAAGAGGGAAGGGTTAGATAAGGGAAGGGTTAGATAAAAGACTTCATAACCCTCGGGTGCATAACAGGTGGGACGAGGCTCAGAAGAGACCCTCCCTAGCTTCTCAGGCTGTAAAGGAGATGGGGCAGAATTGTCCTTTCAGATTAACAAGTATTGGAAGGGACCTTGGAGGTCTTCTAGTCCAATCCCCCTGTACCATTTCAGACAAATGGTTGCGCAAACGGACACATGGAACGGGCTTAGCTCCGTTGGGAGTCCAGCCACGGGACGTAGCAACTCAACGTAACTTCTACCATAAGAGATAGAGGAGATGGGAAGGTGGCTAACAAGGGTCGGCAAAGGAATTGGGCCCACGGGGTATGGTTTTTTTTAAAAAAAAAAAAGTTCCCAAGATCCTGCGCAACGAGGCAATTGAGTCTGGATTTTGGTAACGTGCAGCCACAAAACAAAACAAAACGGAGCTTGGGTTGCACCCGTTGTGGCAACATCTTGACTTTTCTGAGCATATCCTGGTGAAAGGGGGGCATCCCTGGAGAACAGCCAAGACGCCAAGAATGCCCCAACTCAACGACGTGTGAGGCACCGTTGCAAATACATTAAGCCAGAAATCAAAAGAAAGGTGGGGGGGGGTCTCCTTTGTGCACTGAACCTGGTTATGGAAAACTAAGCAGGACTTGGCCCCGAGCTGTTAAAAAAAAAAAGGCTAACTGAGATTCCACCTTAACCAAGGATGTTATGGGAACGTAGATTGTGTGTGAGGTGCAGAAAGAGAGTTTACGAAAGATTCGGGCCAGATTAAACAGATTTCCAAGCAGAGGGTCCCTAAATTCCCCATGGAAATGGGACAGGATCAGCAGTCTCCTGGCCTTCCCTAGATCTGCCCCACAGAGCCTAAATGGACCAGGAAAGGGCCTAGCAATGCAGCCTGGGAACTACTGGCCACGGGATTACTGTGCAACACAGCAGGTGCTTAAAAAAAAACCTTCCCAAGGATCTTGCAAAATTCCCGGGAATTTTATGTGCTAAGGGACCCCGTCCTCTTTGGTTCTCTCTCTCTTCGCTTTTGAAATGGGGGAGGGGGTCTCGCCAGGAAAAAAAACGGGGGTGGGGGGGAAGAGTCAGCCAGGCCGGTCTGGCCGGTCTACCGAAAAGCCGAGGGGTCAGAACCAGCAAGGCATCCACATGAAAGAGCCCAGGGCAGCCCCTGTGGCCGCTCCAGCGAGGAGACCCAGAGCCATCTGATCTCCGGAAACGCGGTGTGGGTCTTCGCGGATGATGACGTGAGTCGTTCCGGGAGCTGTGAGGGAGAAAAGGAGGAGAAACGGCGTCAGGGGCAAATTGTTCTGAGCAAGGCTTCGTGAGACCGTAATTAATCACACACCTAATCCAAACGACTCTTGTTTTATTTCAACGCTGGGAATTACGTTCATTCCCAGCCCGTAATGAGTTTCAAATAGACCCTCGAGATAAGCACCCACCTTTCTCTCCTTTGAATGGCTGCCAACAACTAAAGTGCCAAATTAAATATAAAAAGCCAACCGAAGTACAAAGTCCACACACAGCTTCAAGGTTTAATCCGAACAGCGTTGCTTCCTGCAAAGGCTCCTGTCCCTTTGCTCCTCCTTTATGTCCTACGGGAGGGCCCAATCACCTCCCAGCCTTACTCCCGAGTCGCCCCTTTTGTCTTAACTGTTCTTGCCTTCTGGCAGCTCTGCGCAAGCGCGCACTGGGAACAGGCTCCCACTGTTCCTCTGCCTCACTGCTGTCAGATTCTGGAGGCTGCAGAGTCAGCACATAACTCCCAGATGGCCCTGACCCCATCTCTGCGTCGGACGCGGGTCCTCTCCAGACTCCTGGACTGGCCTATGTTCCTCCCCCACTGCCCCCCAGCGAACCACAACATGAAGCTTAACTGCCCCCTGGAGAGGTTTTTAACTTGAAATGCAGGAACGTTCCAGAATTGTAGAGGTAGTCCTCGACTTAAAAGGCCACAAGGGAGCCGAGCGTTTCTGTTGCTAAGCGAGACTGTTGTTGGGGTTTTTTTTTGCACCATTTTGGGGGTCTTTCGTGCCACGGTTGCTAAGTGCATTACTGCAGTTGTTAAGTCAGTCACGCGTAAGTGTAAGTGAATCTGGCTTCCCTTTTTCTCTTTCCTTGTCGGAAGGTCGTAAAAGGGGACTGCATCCGTCATAAGTACGAGCCAGTTGCCAAGCATCTGAATTTTGATCACATGGGCTCAGTGCGGGATCATCCTTACCCCATGGGGATGCTTGTAGCGATGGTAAGTGCAAAAAACAGTTACAAGTCTTTTTTTCCCCCAGTTGTAACTTTGAACGGTCACTAAACAAACTGTTGTAGGTCAAGGACTACCTGTAATAGATTTTTTTTTTCTTATCTCCTTTTGTTGCATCTGTGGCAATACCCAAGTCGGCCACCGGATGTCCTTTCAGCCCTCAAGATGCATATAGAAGCCCAAAAGGGATGTCAGATTTTGGAGAAATTGGAATTTAATACAGGCTGGCATCCATCCATGCATCAGCTGAAGAAGAGAACAATTCAGGGCTCCTGTTGGTCCAGACAGCTGGGTAAAACAGTTTCCCTGACCCTACCCTCTGAAATGGTATTGGGTTTCCTGTTGGAGCAGGGGAGGGTTAGACTAGAAGACCTCCAAGTCTCCTTCCAACTCTGTCATTCTGTAAAACAGCTGTCATGCCCCCGTTGGAATCTGATTCGGAGGGGGAGGCTGAGCAGCTGACAGGGAGAAGGGAGTGTGGCTCAGTTGGCTGTGGAGGAGGCTGGGGAAGGGCAAAGTCCGGCTGGGCAGAGCAGGGAAAAGGTAGAACAAGGGAGAGGGAGTTCAGAGGAAGACCCAGGCCCATCCCCTCTTCATCCTAGGGCACGCAGGGAGGAATGGAGAAGGGAGCAACGTGGGTTGCATGGCTTCTGGGGGAGGAAAGGGCCCTGATTCCCTTCATTAGCAACAGCTGGGAACACAGTGTTTAAAAAGGGAATTTGCGCACAGCAACTTGTTGGAAACAAATCGTGAGTTATCTTTTATTGTCGAGGCTTATCTGGGTTCCTGGTGTCTTCCCAACTGTGTGTGTTTTGTTGGCCTTTCAAGTCTGCAATTCCTTCTCCTGCCCTGTCCAGTTAATTGCTGCAGCGTGGTTTGTGTGGATTTTTAATTACAGTTTGTATGGACTTTGTTTTGGACTGAATTTCCTCCACTTAAAAGATTGTTCTTGGGAGAGTTTTTTTTTTTCTGCAGCCGAAGGTAACTGGGCATTGGGGGCAAAGTTGGAGGCACTAAAGCGACTCTTATTGTGTTGCCTTTGTGCCATGCCCTGGGTCATCACAACAGCCATGTTTCAAGGGCCTGCAGGGCCAGTGAAGGCTGCTAAGGGGGCACCAGGCTAGAAAGCAAGAGTTCTGGTGCTGGAGTGGCTTCACTTAGCAACCGTAGCAAGAAAGGTCGTAAAATAGGGCAGAACTCGCTTGTTAACGCCTGTCTCACTTAGCAACAGAAGCGTTGGGCTCCCTTGTGGCTGCATGTTGAGGACTACCTGCAGTGGATCCCTTCTTTAAACGGGAACCGGTGTGTGGATAGTGCCAAGAGAAGGGTAAACGGAGAGGAGCTGCCAAGACCTACCGATGTACGGGTTGCCGTAGTAATCTGAGCTGACATACATGGCCTGGTGCGAGTCCAGAGGTACCGTCTGGTAGTAGTCATCGTAAGGGTCATAGAGGTGAACCTGGAACACAGAAAGGCAGTCCAGCATCAGCACCTGTGAGCAAAAAGCATCTTGGGTCCCCTTGGGCTGCGGGCACAGAATGGTGAGGGACCTTCAAGGCCATCGAGTCCAACCCTCTTCCCTCCCACATGGCAAGTTTCCCTAACCTACGCTGTCCCCAAGTGTTGTGGTTCGCTGGCAGCTGGTGCGGACGGCTGAGGTCTCGGAGAGCAAGGACTCGGATGAGGGGCCTGCGTGGGATGCAGGGATGGGGCCAGGACCATCAGGGGGTGGAGTGCTGCCTTCGGAGATTGTGGAGGCTGGCAGCAGTGAGGAAGAGGCCCCCGAGGAGCCTGTGCTTCTGTGTGTGTGTGTGTGTGTGTGTGCAGGGCTGCTCGAAGGAAAGAGCAGCAGCACGGGAGACTCAGGAGTAAGGCTGCAAGGTGATGGCCCCTCCCTTAAGAGATAAAAGCCAGCTGAGAAACCGGAGTTCTTTGCAGGAAGCAAAGAAGTTTTTGCACTCAAGCCTTGTGGACATTAGGAATATCTGAGTTGGTGTTTGGAGACTCTTTGGTTTATTGTTTAAGAACTTTTTCCTGTTGTTCTTGGCAGCCTTGCGAAAACTTGGCAGGCTCTTCCTTATATCGGAGCTAATTAGTTGGAAGCAGCCTTTGATCTGTGAAGAAACGGGGTTTGTATATGAAACATTAAAAGGTTGTGCTGGTACCTTTGTTCTTGTGTTTTCTCTCTGGGAAGCAGGTTTGGGTCAGAACGCCAAGGTGTAAACCAAAGTTGCAAACCAAAGACCCAACAGCTAACACAATTTTTATTATAAGGTTATGGGAATAGAAATTTGAACGTCGGAATGCGCGTCCTGTCTCCCCCTCCCTTTCTCTTCACAAGAACTAAGGAGAATTAAGCTTGGGGGGCTTTGTTAAATTATATTTCTGTCCTGGAAGCAGATTTGTCTTCTCTGACCAGGGCTTGGTTGCAGCTTTTGCGTCTTGTCCCTCCAAATCAGGAGGAGGAGGAGGAGGAAGAAGAAGAAGAAAAGAAGAAGAGGAGGAGGAAAAAGAAGAAGAGGAAGAGAGGAGATTAAGAAAAGGTTGGAATGTGCAGAAATGAGTAGATTAACACTGGCAATTAGAGAACAAGAAGAAATAGAATATGATATGATTTGGGATTTATCGTATAAATAGTTGGAAAATAAAGTTAGAAATTAAATGACTGCGAAATTCACAGGCTGGCTAGGGAAATGTGAGAGAAAACGTCCACACGTCTTAAAAGGGTTGCTCCGACGGAGAGATGCTGAATTGCTCCAACCTTGAGGGTTTCTGGCCAACATTTCCCCACCTGCCTTTCTCCTGGCTGCTTTTTCCAGTTTCTCAATCTGGTGTGCCACTTTGGGAGTTTCAGGTCCACCACCAGAACTAACAAAATTAATTCAGTCCATCTGAAAATGACATTCAGTAAAAACCCTGTTTCCCTCTATCCCTGATGCCTGTTACCTAGTTGGGTCATGAAATGTCTGCAAGAAAACAACCAAACAGCATCAAGGTCAAGGACCACACACCCCCTCCTCCTCCTCCTCCTCCTCCTCCTCCTCCTCCTCCTCCTCCTCCTCCTC